ACTTACCTACCTACCTACCTACCTACCTACCTACCTACCTACCTATCTCTAATTACCTAACTACCTACCTACCTACCTACCTATCTACCTACCTGCCTACCTACCTACCTACCTACCCATCTAGAAGTTGACCGTCTATGCTCTGAGTTTGATGGTTCAGCAAGATATTTAGTAAACTGCACGGACTCTACTTTCTGTAGAACTAGAACCTACTCATACCATCATAGACAACGTAAGATCTAATATTTTTTTTTTAATAAAAATCATTTTTACGATGCTTTTAATTGAGTTTGCTCCTTTATGATTTATTTCAAAAACAGTAAAACCGAAAAAATTTTACAAACGTTAAAATTTTACCAAAATTAAGATTTTTTTCTTATAAGAAACAGAAAAGAATGTCTCATTTTGAGATACAAATATATTTTTGGATAAAAAAGCGCTTTTTTAATAAAAAATATATTTTTTTTGAGTGTGTGTTATTTTTTCTTAGACGCTAACAAACCGTTGTGTCTCTCAAGATCATAAATGGACTGTGAGCCTAATTTGAAAAAACCTCCATGGAACGATAGAAGTGTCTGATTCACAATATTACCCTGCCTTGTCTGCTTGAACTGTATGAATCAGATATCAACGTTTAAAATTATGAAAGCTGATTTTTTAAATTGTGATTTCTATACAAAAGTGACTTGTGCAATTATCAGAATTATAAATTTTAAAAGCCTCCATATTATTAATAATTATTAATAATCTATCTATCTGTCTATCTATCTATCTATCTATCTATCTATCTATCTATCTATCTATCTATCTATCTATCTATCTATCTATCTATCTATCTAGATGGTGTAGAGAACGTGTTGAAGATAACAGAACGTGGCTGTGCTAAACAGGAATCAACAATATTAAAAAAAAAATCCGCTAAAATTCAGCAAAAATCATGATTTTATACTAAGCGCGGGTAAACGGCGGGAGTAACTATATGAACCCATGGGCAACGCCCGGGCACTCTTTTAGCTAGTTTCTTATAAATTTGATTTTTATATTTTTAAAAATATTTGTCTTTTTGTCCTGGGACTTTCTTCTAATGTGTCAATAAAAAATTACTTTTATAGTTTACTACGTTTCCTTAAGCAATAACAAAACGCCCAATAAAAAAACGCCAATGCACCAAAACGCCCAATTACAAAACGTTCAATGTAACTATGTAACTTTGGGCGTTTTGTAATTGGGCTTTTTGTTGCATTGGGCGTTTTGTTCTTTGGGCGTTTTGTAATTGGGTGTTTTGTTTTTGGGCGTTTTGTTATTGGGCGTTTTGTACCCACTCCAAAATTTATAAATCTATTAGTTTTTACGCTATTTTTCATAGATTTTAATTAAGAATTCTAAGCTATAGTTAGAGTTGATGAAGCAACAAAAAAAATTTCAAATATTTTTAGGTATACTTAAAAAATAAAAATATTATTATGACGGATTTAAGGCATATTCCTACCAAGCTCTGGACAGAGGGAACTGGAAAACAATAAAAAAAATAATGGTAAGATTACAAACAATGGAAATACAAACTGCTGAGGCCCCAAAAAGTGAGAAATATTAGAATACTCTAATATTATTAAAATAATTTTGTTTAATGTTGTATTTATATTTTATAAAAACCTTTTAAGAAAATCAAGTGTTTAAAAACAAACTGCTGGAATACAAACTATAGAATACAAACTCCTGAAATTTAAACTTCTGAAATACAAACTCCTGAATTACAAACTCCTTAAATTCAAACTTCTGAAATACAAACTCCTGAATTACAAACTCCTCAAATTCAAACTCCTGAAATACAAACTCCTGAAATACAAACTCCTGAATTATAAACTCCTGAATTACAAACTCCTGAATTACAAACTCCTTAAATTCAAACTCCTGAAATACAAACTCCTGAAATACAAACTCCTGAAATACAAACTCCTGAAATACAAACTCCTGAATTACAAACTCCTTAAATTCAAACTCCTGAAATACAAACTCCTGAAATACAAACTCCTGAAATACAAACTCCTGAAATTCAAACTTCTAAAATACAAACTCCTGAAATACAAACTCCTGAAATACAAACTCCTGAAAAACAAACTACGGAAATACAAACTACTGAAAAACAAACTATGGAATTACAAACTGATGAAATCCAAACTCCTAAAATTCAAACCTCTGAAATACAAACTCCTTAGTCCTTAAATATAAACTCCTCAAATACAAATTCCTGAAATACAAAATCCAGAAATACAAACTCCTCAATTACAAACTCCTGAAATACAAACTCCTGAAATACAAACTCCTGAAATACAAACTCCTGAAATACAAACCTCTGAAATACAAACTCCTGAAATACAAACTCCTGAAATACAAACTCCTGAAATACAAACTCATGAAATACAAACTCCTGAAATTCAAACCTCTGAAATACAAACTCCTGAAATACAAACTTAATTACTACAAAATCCACAAAAAGTTTACTCCAACAATTTGATTTTAAATAAATAAATAGATATATAATCATCAAAAGTCGTGTTCATTAATTCAAATTGAAGTCCAATTAATGTGAACTTACACATGCAAAATGCAAATGATTAAACTAAAAATTCTCTCTTAACTTTTAATTTTTAATCCTGAGGATGAAAAATCAGTATAAGCGTAATTTCAACAATTGTTGTCAATGCCCGAACCAAACTGGTAACCTTAAAAACTTTGTCTGATGAAATATGAATCAGATATTAATTTTTTATCATTTCGAAAGCGTATTATTGTCAATTGTGGTTTCTCTACAAAATTGACTTGCGCATTTCTACTACATCAAAAAACGTGTATTGAATTGAACACTTTTAAACCTTCAAAATAACGATAATACATGGTGTCCCACGAAACATGACAGTTGATAAATAGTTATTAATGTCGTCTTCCATAAACTGCATTAGATATTAAAGGCTGTTTGCAGTTTATTTCGCTTATACATCTTTTGCTCAAATGCATTTTACTTTGAAGTTAATTTTACTATAATATGACTCCTATATGATATTTTTATTATTGTCTTTGGTATCAAACAACTTATGGAAGAAGACATTCTAAACTATTTACCAACTGTCATGTTTCGTGGGACACCCTGTCTCTTACACATACTTGATCAGATAGAAGTTTTAATGGTTGTGAATTATGCATTGCCATCTTTGCACGGAGAGTCAGCTTGAATTTAACAATCTGTTTTTAAGATTGACGTGGTTGGGTGTTTCTAGAACCTACTAGCTACAATTCCTTTAACACTCTGTTTCTAGGATAATATTGCCGGTGTTGGTTGTTTCCAAAACAGCTGGGATGACCACCTAGCTACAATTTCTGTAACAATCTGTTTCTAAGATAATATTGCCGGTGTTGGTTTTTTCCAAAACAGCTGGGCTGACCTACTCGGTACAGTTACTTTAACAATCTGTTTCTAGGATAATATTGCCGGTGTCGGTTGTTTCCAAAACAGCTGGGCTGACCGACTAGCTACAGGAACCAAATACTGCTACTGTGATACAGACAGGTACAGTCTGTTAAAGAAGATTAATAAAAAATACTTTGTATTTCGGTGGTCCAAAAGAATCCTTCCTTAAAGTATTTCTTTTTTAAAAAGGCAGTTTAACTTCCTTGTGGGATGTTTTATTTCTCTAAGAGTAAGTTTACAGTACACGATATCTATATATATTAAGTTGTAACCTCTGTCTTGGTGTCTGTCTGTTTGTTTTACCCATTTGCCCCAAATTTTCGTTGGGTAACTCGGTTCTTAGTGGGTCGACTTTTTTTGCGAAAATTTAGTTTCTCGGTTAAATCGTCAAGAGCGGGTAAACGGCGGAAGTAACTTTTAGTAACATTGCCGCTGAGTTACCAAGCTATTACTTCATAAAGTACAATGGTTAAAATTCTTATTTAACAAAGGGATAAGGCTCTAAGGCATTAGGGTCACTTGACAGTACATCGTGAAATTACGAGGAAGGGTGCTTATGGACGGCGGAAATACAGTGTACAATATTAATACATTTTTAAATTCCATAATGTTGGGTAAATTTCTCGGCGTGTAGTTATCAAACTTTTACGTGCACACTGCTTTAAAAAGTTACATTAATTTTCAAGACCGCGTCAACTTGAAAGTGTCGCAATGCCTTTTTATTCTTTACTTACTTTAAACTGTTTTATAGCCCTGAACATGTAGATCTTAGAACTGTTAAGCATTTGTTTTTAATTTTAGTTTTTGAATATTAATCGGCATTTCATTTCAACTGCTGTGTGTGGCTTGTGAGTCAGACCTTACATGTTACAAGGATGAGACTTCAGAGTCAACTGTAGAGAATTATGTCGACTTTTAATTGTCATGTTTTTTGAGACATCCTGTAGTTATCTGCAGCTGTATACATCCTGTAGTTATCTGCAGCTGTATACATCCTGTAGTTATCTGCAGCTGTATACATCCTGTAGTTATCTGCAGCTGTATACATCCTGTAGTTATCTGCAGCTGTATACATCCTGTAGTTATCTGCAGGTGTTTACATCCTGTAGTTATCTGTAGCTGTATACATCCTGTAGTTATCTGCAGCTGTATAATTTTTTGTTCTGGCAAATCAGAACAAAAGACTATTTCCAAGGATAACCAGCGAATCCAAGATCTTTATAATTCAAGTTTAGGTCGTCATTAAACTCTCATCCTTTGTTTGTAACCCTGTATCTTGCAAAGTTTAAAAGTAGGGAGACCTTTGTCGCTCTGAAATTATTAATGGCTTTTATTTTGGACAAAGAAAAAGTTCTAGCTATAGAATTATAACCCTCACCCACCTTTTCTTTTAAAAACATATATTTAAAAAAAATTGAATTAAAGCAGCTGCCCACTCTTCCTAGTTTTGCCCCTTAAAGTTCATTTCCTTAATTTACCGGATAGTGGGACGTCCACTCATTTTTTTTTGGGGGGGGGGGGTTCATCTCATTAACCCCCACTAATTCAAATAATCTGTTTAAGGTGTAATCACGATCCGAACAAGCTGGAAGAAAAAACACAAATAGAATTAAACCTTCTTCATGAATCTGATTCTCTAAGTTTGACGAGATATGATCACCAAGACCAGGCTGGTGACCAAGACCAGGCCGGTCACATGCTTGATCAGCTATACAGTCATGCTGGCCAACCTGTGCTAAATACACTGTTTTTTAATATAATTTTTATCTGTGATATTATAGGGCTAATTCTGATAAATTGATAATATATATTAATCATTTATATTTCTCTAAAAAATACATTAAACAATATAAAAGTTTACAATTTAATTATAATACTCTTTTCTCTGGAATTATGATTGGCAGGGTTCGTCAAAAAGCATGTGCCATACAAGAGCATGAGCATGTTTTTCGTTTTCTGAAAATGTGGTATGATGACAGCACTGCAAGTCTTGATAGATTTCTACACATTGCTTTGAAACTAACACTGGGTTTGCAGAACTTTTGTAGTTTATTTAGATTTGCTTTATTTGATGGTGAGATATATCCTCTTGAGCCGATTTCAAAAGGGTGAGCAGACAAATCCCTAGTTGTTATATCTGTGATAAAATGTTCAAAAAAAAAACAAAAATGTTCTTGTTATATTTGACACTTTTAACGTCGTGTATAATTGATCCATTTCTCTGTTGCCACCTATATTGTACTTGATCATCCAATTGCTACCATTAGAGTACTGTGTGCTGTACGCAATTTGTGTATATTTGACACTGACGACTTTAACATCTTCAAAAATAACGATCCCAAGTATGATGCGGAGGCTGCTGTGGAAGAAGAAATTCCAACTGTTTTTGTGAAACAATGTTCTTGGTGTGTGGTAGTTTTCAGAAGGAGTCTTATTTTTTCAACTTTTCTAAGCTCACTATAAATTGCTTTCAGACAGGGTTAGAATAAAGAACAAATGGAGAAATTCATAGAAATTTTTATACCTAGAAAACCGACATTTCCTTTCACATTATTGATCATTATCAAGAAGAAATTGGGTATAAAAAATTTTTAGTTTTCTAGGATTTAAAATTTGTATTTATCAATATAAAGCGGTTTTTTAAACTTACTTAAACATTAGTTAAACAAAGGCCCCTGTAAACGTGTTTGGCCATTTTTTCCAATTTTAAAACTTTTTGATATTTTTTGACATTTTTAAAACGGTTTTTTCTTTTAATCACAAACTTCAAAATCTAATTTTATTTACTGTGCAAAAATTGCACACTTTCTAGTCCCTATTTCTTGAAAATCTGGTGGTGTAAAACTTAGATATTTTAAACTTAGACTTTTGGTCTAACAGAATTCATAGATCTACGACATCGGGTCGCGCAGATAAAGAGATTTTAATTTTGAGTTTGTTGCAAAAATTCATTTCATTTTTAGTAATAAATGTAAAGTGTTTTTTTAATTATTTGAAAAAAGGCGCCGGAAAACGCGTTTTAACAATTTTAAAACTTTTTTGATACTTTTTCACATTCTTTTAAACTTTTAAAAATTTTTCTTCACATCCTAGAATTACTGATCGATTCATTTTTGTTCACTTTAAGTTTTTAAGTTTTAAAGTTTTGATTTCAAAATATAATTTTTACTTTTCATTTTTACTGTGGAAAAAAATAGAGTTTTGCCACAAAATCAAAGTTTCTAATCCCCATATCTTTGCAACCTAGTGTTGCACACCTTTGATATTTCAAACTAAGACTATTTGATCTAACAGAGTTCATAGTTTCAAATATCAAAGGTTGCTAAAATGTGGGGAATAAAAAACGAGAGTTTGTGACAAAACTCATGTCCTTTAACATTTTGTGTTATCAAGGCGTAAAGATTACATGTACTACAGTAGTAGATACAGGGTGTCCCACGAAACATGACAGTTGGTAATATATATATATATAATGTCTTCTTTCATAATTTGTTAAGTTGTTTGATACCAAAAACAATAATAAGAATATTATATAGGAGTAATATTATAGTAAAATTAACTTCAAAGTAAAATATATTTGAGCAAAATATTTTTTAAACAAAATAAACTGCAAACAGCCTTTAATATCTAATACAATGTATGGCAGACGACATTCAAAACTATTTACCAACTGTCATGTTTCGTGGGACACCCTGCACCTAAAAACCGTGGAATAGAAAAATGACATTTATAAATATATTTGGATTATTCTAGTTAATTCTGGTTTATTCAGGTTTATTCTGGTTTATTCTGATTTATTCTGGTTTATTCTGGTTTATTCTGGTTCATTCTGGTTTATTCTGGTTAATTCTGGTTAATTCTGGCTTATTCTGGTTTATTCTGGTTTATTCCGGTTTATTCTGGTTTATTCTGGTTTATTCTGGTTTATTCTGGTTTATTCTGGTTAATGCTGGTTTAATCTGGTTTATTCTGGTTTATTCTGGTTAATTATTTTATTCCTGTTATCAATGTGCAGACTCCTGTTTTATACAATTGTCTTGTTTTTACTTAGAGATGGACATTGTTTTTTTATTTTACTGAACGATCGTTCAGTGAGAAAACGAACGCAAAAGATGGAAAATGAAAGATCATTTCGAGAATCAACTAAATTTTTTTTTAACAATTAAAAAAAATTTACAAAATACGTCGTTCATGAACGATTAACGAACAAAATAAAAATACAACGAACGCGCCCATCTCTAGTTTACCCCCCTTTGTTACCGGTGTTCTACATATATACAGGTTTTTAAACCAAGACTTTAGGCTTGGAATTCCAGGCTTTAAACCTGATTACCAGGCAGCAGTTATAGGCTCCCATCAAACAGGCGAGTATCTAAATACTTTACTGAATACAAATAGTTCCATTAACATAAAAAAATATTAATATAAGTCGTCTTTAAAAAACCGCAGCACTAATTTCTTTATTTGTTTATTTGTTTTTATTTCAATTTTATTCGATTTAACCAATTAAATTTTAAAGACATGAAAAACTAATAAATCCTCCTAGCTAGTAGTAGGGTTTCCATTTTTCCGGAAAAAAATTTCCATTTTGGAAATGGAATGATCCGGAAATTTGTTGCGTAAACCGGAATTCCGGGATAATTCCGGTATAAATGGAAACCGGAAATTTTCCGGTTTACGTCACGTAAACCGGAAAAATTTCCGTTTTACGGAATGGAAACCGTAAAATTTCCAGTTTCCATTTCGTAAACCGGAAAAATTTCCGGTTTCCATTCCGTAAACCGGAAATTTTGAATCATACTAATATGAAAGATGCACACTCTCTAAATTTCGAAATAAAAAATCGCCTTTTTTCAACAA